TCAGGCTAAAAGTATATCATTAGTCTCGTTTTCTACTCCCTGGGTTCTAAGCCCTAGGATACCGACCTCCAGCGGAATGACTGCTTCTGTGCCATAAGCCATGGCGAATGGGGATTCGCCAGTTGATCTTCTTGGCGTAGTTCGATATGCTCAGAGTACACTTAGTAGTTCATCTACCCACTTCCCCTTTGCTGCTTGCAGCCTCTTCTTAATCCCATTCAAGATAACTTTGTTGGATGCTTCTGCTTGTCCATTGCTTTGAGAAAAGCTTGGGGTTGAAAAATAATTCTTGATTTTGAATTTTGCACAAAAGTTCTTAATGAGCTTACTGTTAAATTGTGTTCCGTTGTCGGCAACTATTGCTCTTGGAATCCCAAATCTGGTTATGATGTTTCTCCATATGAAGTTCTTTACGTCCACATCTCGGATCTTGGTAAGAGGTTCAGCTTCTATCCATTTGGTGAAGTAATATGTTGTTACCAACAAGTACTTCCTTTGTCCAGTTGCTTGGGGGAGTTGTCCAATAAGACCCATGCCCCATTGGGCAAACGGCCAAGGACTGGATACTGGGTTCAGGTCTGCTGCTGGTTGGTGTATCAAAGGTGCAAACCTTTGGCATTTTTCACACTTCTTTACATAGGCTTCTGCATCCTTCTGCATGTAGGGCCACCAATACCCCTGGGTAATGGCCCTATGGGCAAGTGATCTGCCTCCAACATGGCTTCCACAAATTCCTTCATGTATTTCGTATAAAAAATCTTCAACTTGTGAAGGGTGTACACACCTTAAGAGGGGTCCAATGAAGGATCTTCTGTAGAGATGTCCTTCTGCTGTTAGGTTGAATCTTGCCGACTTCAACCTGATCTTGTGTGCCTCTTTGTGGTCATCTGGCAGCTTTCCTTCTTTCAGGAATGCTATAATTGCATCCATCCAGCTTGGTCCCATGTCCACGCACAGTGCTTCATGCTCTGCAGTCAGTGGTTCGATACTCGGGCCCGACAAGTAATCGACCATTATTGTCCTTGCTTTTCTAGGTTGTATTGCACTAGCTAGGTTGGCCAACGCATTGACGTGGCTGTTATCATCTCGGCTTACCTGAAATAGTCGGCAGTTCTGAAAAAAGGCCGCCAACCTGATGACCACTTTTGCGTAGGCCGACATTCTTTCATCTCGGGCTGCAAACTCGCCCGTTGTCTGGTTGACTATAAGTTGTGAGTCACAAAAGACTATTACCCCATATGCTTGTACCGCTGCTGCCAGTTTCAGTCCTGCAATGAGTGCTTCATACTCTGCTTCATTGTTTGAGGCCTTGAACCCCAAACGAATGAACTGTTCTAGTATCTGTCCATCTGGAGATACCAGTACTACTCCTGCCCCCGCTCCTTGTCGGTTTGAACTCCCATCAACAAATAGTCGAAAGGAATTGCCGATATAAATGTTGCAGGGTCTAAGTTTTTCCTCTTTCCTTTGTTTTTTCGCCTTTGGCTTGGTTCCTCCTTGCTTGCTTGGACGTCATTCATCTTGGCTCAGCGGAACCTGATGTTCAATGGATTCTGGTGTGAATTCTGCCACGAAGTCGGTCAACACTTGGCCTTTGATTGCTGTTCTGGGCCTAAACTCCAGGTCATACTGGCCCAAGGCTACTGCCCATCTGGCTATTCTTCCTGTCAGGTCTCCCTATTGCAACAGGGACTTCAATGGGTGTTTTGTCAGCACCACAATCTTGTGGGCCTGAAAGTAATGGTTCAGCTTCTTTGAAGCCATTACTAAGGCCAGCGTTAATTTCTCTAGGGGTAAATACCTAGTTTCTACATCTACCAGGGTTTTGCTTACATAGTAAACAGCCCTTTGTTCCCCTTTTTCTTCTCGGATTATTACTGCACTTACCGCATGTTCTGAAACTGCTAAGTACAAAAACAACTCTTCCCCAAGTTCGGCTGTTGAAAGAACTGGTGTTGTGGTCAAGTACTTCTTCAAGTCGGCCAAAGCGGCTGCGCACTCCTCGGTCCATAAGAAGTCTGTGGCTTTCTTCACTAAGGCCAGCGTTAATTTCTCTAGGGGTAAATACCTAGTTTCTACATCTGCCAGGGTTTTGCTTACATAGTAAACAGCCCTTTGTTCCCCTTTTTCTTCTCGGATTATTACTGCACTTACCGCATGTTCTGAAACCGCTAAGTACAAAAACAACTCTTCCCCAAGTTCGGCTGTTGAAAGAACTGGTGTTGTGGTCAAGTACTTCTTCAAGTCGGCCAAAGCGGCTGCGCACTCCTCGGTCCATAAGAAGTCTGTGGCTTTCTTCACTAAGTTGAAGAAAGGTTTGCATTTGTCTGAACTTCTGCTTACGAACCTGTTCAGGGCTGCGGCCCTTCTAGTAAGCATTTGCACCTGTTTTGTCGACGTCGGGCTCTTCAACTCCAGGATGGCCTTGATCTAATCTGGACTGGCCTCAATGCCTCTTCTGGTCACCAGGTACCCTAAGAACTTACTAGATCCAACTCCAAATGCACACTTTGATGCATTGAGTCGGAGCCGATATGTTTTAAGGATATCAAAGACTGCCTTTAGGTCGGCAAGGTGGCCTTCTGGTTCCTTGGTCTTCACAACCATATCGTCGATGTAAACTTCCACCGTTCGGCCGATCAGGTGTCTGAACATCTTGGTTACCAATCTTTGGTAAGTTACTCCTGCGTTTTTCAGCCCAAAAGGCATTACTTTGTAGCAATACAAGCCTTTCGGGGTGATGAATGCAGTCTTCTCCTCATCCGGGGGGTACATGGCAATCTGATTGTACCCCCTGTAGACATCCAGGAAGCTCATTCTTCCATATCCTGAAATGGCGTCTACTAGTTGGTTAATCCTGGAAAGAGGGAAAACTGTCTTTGGGACAAGCCTTGTTCAGGCTAGTAAAGTCCACGCAGACCCTCTATTTACCGTTCTTTTTCTTCCCCACAACTGTGTTTGATAGCCATGTCAGGTAACTTACCTCTTGAATGGCTCTGGCTTCCAGAAGTCTGTCTACTTCCTCCTCTACTGCATCGACGTGCATCAACGTCGGTCTTCTAGTTCGTTGAATTACTGGTTTGGCTGACCTGTCAACGTTCAGTTCATGGCAAGTGACCTCGGGGTCAATGTCAGGCATTTCGTAAGGTGTCCAAGCAAACACCTCAATATTTGCTCTCAAGAAAGCCTCCAACTCTTTTTCCTCTTCTTCGGCTAAGCCCGAGCCGAGAAGAAAGAAACGTTCTTCATCCCCCTCCTTGACGAGGATTTTCTTTAGTGCTTCTTCACTTTTCTCGGCTGGCTCCTTGCCGACGTCCTCTAGGACTTCCATGTTCTCGTCTTCGATCTCTACCTTCTCCGGTTCTCGTATGCTGCAGACGGGTTTTATTGTTGTCATGGAGCAATTATTTGCTTGCAGCTGATCTCCCCTGACCTCCTCTACCCCATGCTCTGTTGGGAACCGTAATAGTTGATGCAATGTTGATGGAACGGCCTCCATTGCATGTAACCATGGCCTTCCCATGATGATATTGTAAGGGGAGGGTGTGTCGATTACGGTGAATTCTGTCTTCACCCTCTTGGTGCCAGCTTGCACCTCTAGGCTTATTGCTCCCAGTGGCCATGTTGGTGTTCCATTAAACCCGACCATTGGGTCATTGGATTGTTTCATATCGTCTGGATGAAGGCCTAGCTCCTTGTAACATCTAGCATACATGATGTCGCAAGAGCTGCCTTGGTCGATTAGGATGCGCTTCACTTGGCACTCCCCAACTTGGAGGGATACTACCAAGACATCGTTGTGCAGATGTTGGACCATTTCAAGGTCGGCTTCAGTAAAGGATACTTCTGGTCCCTGGGATTCCTCGACCTGAGGTCTTTTCTTCCAGACCTGGTACACATGCTGTAGGTGCTTTACCTTATGGGTCTCCCCCTGTATTTCGTTTTCGTTGACCTTCGAGTAGATTACACTAATTACCCGGGGTCCTCCTTCGAACCCGTGACTCAGGTTTTTGTTGCAATTGTCCCCCTTGATGTCAACGTTAACAGGTCTCTCACTCCTGGTAAGAGTGTTATCCCCAACCATCTCTTTCTGTCCATCACTGGCCATCTATTCTTCTTTCTTTCCCACAGACGGCACCAAATTGTGTAAGTAAATTTCTGACCATACTGCCAACTCAGCTTTCAACTGTAGAACACTGGCAGAATAGATAACACCTGGATGACCTGCAACAGAAAAAGAAGACTCCGGTGGTGGTTCGTCTACCCGGGGACACTCCGACGATCAAGTCAGTATATCTCTCAAAGATAATCAATAGTGCTAAACTCACTGTTCAGAGTCTAAATTGCGTACCTTAGACCCATCGAGGGTGCCCTTTTATAGTTGATTCAATCCTAATCCCGGTAGAAGCCTGGCTTCAATGGACTTCTGCTTCATACTTATCCTGGACTCTCCAAGAGATAAAGATAAACTCCCTAAGAGTGTTATCCTTATTCATGCTAAAATCCTTCCTTATTCTAGGACTACTTTTTTCTAGAAGCGTATCCTTTGAGATTTGCTCCCTTGCAAATAAGTAGAGTAACCTATTTGCATAATTATTTTTTGAATTAAAAAAATATATATTCATATTGAGTAAGATGTATTGTGAGTAATATTAAAAAAATTTAAAAAGAATTCAAATATTTCATATGAGGGTAAAACCCACATTATATAGATCCCATGTGAGTCAGACATTTGATAAAAAATTTAATAAAACTTTTGAGATTTCGTTTTTCAGTCCATGTTCTTTTGTTGTAGCATTGCCAGTTCAACTCCTTTTAGCTCCCATTTAGTTCTGTTTTCACGCCCTGTTCATATTTTTATTTTCCAAAAAAAATTAGAAAACTACAGTTAAGAACATGAGACAGTCGGAAAGGGGAAGTGGTCATGTTTATATTTCAGGAAACCAAAATAATAGCCATAAGCCAAACCAAATCCATGTAAGAGAAAAACAAGCCCAACATTTGCTAGGTAATAATTCATTTTATCAACCATAGATTCAGTAACCACACGTCACACGTAAGTTCAACAACAACCATACTTGTCCAAAGTAAAATAGGATACAAATTATGCATATAGCCACCCAAATCCAATACAAATTATGCAGATCATTATTACCATATCCAACAGAGCAACAATTACTTCGCGTTCAGAACTTCGATCTCAAAAACCAGAACCGAGTTGGGCTGAATACCCCATGCTGGGAATCCACTAGGACCATAAGCATAGTCAGGAGAGCACTGCAAAATTCATCACATATATGTCAGTTCATGAAACAAGCCGTCCAATGGGTAAACACAAAAAAATGTTCGACCTAATGCCTTTAACAACTAGAACTTGCAGTTTTGTATACTGTACTAAAGTACTTATAATAACAAGGCTGAATTTCGGTTATAGGGACAAAAACACAATGTCTGTATTTTAAAGAAACAAGGCCAAATCTCAGTGCAAGCCATAGGTATCACACGGAAAGTCATAGCAGTGATGGCACAATTAAAACTGCTGCTGAGATACACTAGCGGGTTATTAGCAAAATCTTATTTAAAATAGTAGGAGAGGCACAACAACTAAACCAAAAGGTCAGAACATTACCCGTAACCGAGCAACTTCTCCAACCTGCATTCCCAGAACGCCTTCATCCCATCCTGAGACAGAATAAATACTCCAAATGAATTAACAACCACAAAACCATTTATGCCACATCTTAATATGATACAACAATTGCCACCTCAGAGAAGCAATGCCCAACTCTAGGGCATCTTAAAAACATTAGATTTGAATATAATTCTGTATTAATTGTCCCTATAACTGATTCACCAGTACCATGCAACGTCATACAAGAAAAAGGATCAAACTTAATATGTAAGCAGATTTTAAAGGTACATCAGACCACATTACTACTAATGTGCACACGTATTTCATACCTCTGTGTAGTGTTTCGATTATGGGAAAAGAAATTTTTTGATACTTTTTCCAAAATTTTGAGTAAAGTAGTACTTGAAGGATGGATATTGAAAATGAGTCGAACAAAAATTAGCAAAGGTGCATGTATTTGTTATCTTCGTATAACGAAAAAGGGGTGATATTTTACATATATATTGTAAAAGTAAATGGAAGACTGAGAAACTTTACTGCCTAAGATGATAATAACAGAGCCACTTTTCTGTTAATATAACTGAGGTAAGGATGTCTTCCAATCAAAATCGCAATTCATACAAGTTTGAAAAAGTTGGAGAATATTCGCATTGAAAAATCTCTTCCAATATGAAATAAAGAAATTAAAAAGGAACGCCTGCTCATCACAACAATGCGGAGAAGGTAAAATGCAGTCAAATGTCACAACGAAGACCTTTGAGCTCTGATCAATTTCAGTGTCATAGGTTGCAAAAGATTTCTCCATTCATCTTCCCAACAAACTAATATCATGCTCCTAAGGAGCACAAACTCTTCTAAAAATATGGTGTGTCAGATGAAACACTTTCAAAATAGCTTAGAATCTTGTGATAAACTAAAAATAATGAAGATTTATGTCTAATAATTCCTCCTTCAGATTTTAGAAATTAATGTTAATGTTACATTTTTTTATTGTCTTTAAATGAAGCAATCATACGTATGACAGCTAATAAATATATAAAACTATATATTTTGTATATGTCCTACACGTGTCGTGCCTTGCATGTTGTGGAAAATTGCCATGCCAATGTGTATATATTGTGTTCGTGTACATGCTTCGTAGTCACACATGGCCACCAAAAGAACTTGGAGAACAAGTAATTATTGAGCCCAAGCAAAAAGCCAAGACGTATGTATCTGGCTTCTAAAACTCATTAAACCTGTCTTGAACAAAGTAAATCAGCCCACAACCAACAGCACATGCTGGCAGCCACCTTTATAGGCCAAAACACAAAATTAAAGCAGAAACAAAAGCAATACTATAAAATTAAAATAATTAACTCCTAGGCAAGATAGAACTCATATGAGTAAAAATCTTGTCAAATAACTATAGTATGGTTTCCCCTTTGTTTGTAATATACTTCACATACTTTCCCTGCATAAGATTGCATCAAATGTCGATTTTTTTTATCCCAGCAATATAGTGTCATATTAGAAAAACAGTGAGAGAGAGAGAGAGAGAGGGGGGGAGTTTCAGGATAAAATGTCTGGCATTGTTACAAACCTATAAACTCTTGTGAGGAACCAAAAAAAAGGTATAATCCAACAACCACAACCATACATCCAAAAAAAACAAAAACAAAAAAAAAAAACAGAAAAGTAATATGCAAGTCAAGGAATACTTTTGTATCAGGTAAACCAGCATTTTTCTTAAGAGCGCAAGTAAAATCAATAATGAGAAACAATCAGAATCATTAACACATATCAAGTCATATCCTCTACCATATGGTAAATATATACAAAATAGAACTAGATAATGGGGAAAGGGTTTCCAGCTGAATATCATTTAAATAGAAAATTATTGATTACAGTAATAAACTTTACCTTTAATAACAGAACCTTGGCCAATTTTAAAGGTGAATGGCTGCTGCCCTGCGTCCTTCGTGCTAATGTAGAAACAATTGACAGAGAGAGTATTAAGATAAGAGAAGGAGGCTACATAAGCTAAACCTTACAAACTTAGGTTTTTTATTTAAAAAATAAAACCCAAAAAAAGAAACTGAAATTAATAATAAGTACCTCCAGAACTTCTGAGAAAGATTACCATTTTTTCCTGCCAAAAAAAAAGGAAAAAAAATGAACACTACAATATACCCATACATATACTTGTCCAAAAAAAATGTACACATATTGATGTAGTGTGCAATAGGGGAAGAGAATAAAAAAGAAGAAAAGGAGGAGAAGAGGGAGGGCCACAGCCTTAACATAAACAGTCACAGTCTTCAATACTCAATACTATTCCAAAACTGAATAATACAATGCAAAGCCTAATATTACAGGTCATTAATCCTAATTCAAAATAGGAAACCAGATCCTGATAGAAAAAGAAAAAGAAAACAAATTAATAAAGCTCCTAACCAAAATAAAGTTCCTAATTGAACTCTAATTAAACGAAATTAAAATACTAAAATAATAAATAATAAGGACAAAATTATAAAATCTGCTTACAAATGTGTCACACCACATATATAAATCAATTGTCTAATAAAAAAACTAACATGAAAAAATCAATAGACCAGCATTCATCGATGCCATGTTTTGGATCTAGGATTTGTCAAGGAAAAGATAATGAAATTACTTGTGTTTGCTCATTATGTGGAACAAACAAAAGAAGGGAAAAAAAACTAATTTTTTTAAAGAAATAAATTCTCACTTTGTTATTATTTTCTCAGCTCAATCTACCAACAAAAGTTCATATCCTTTTTTCCTTTTCTTCCAAAAATCCTAGATCATACACAAAAATTGTACATACATACACGGGCAGATGTTAGAAGGGACAAATGAGGCATGGTACTTGCCCCAACAGAATTTTTTTTTTTCATTTTTTGCAATGTTTTGTTTCTTTTAATTTGTTTTGTATGTGACACATTGTATATCCATTAAATGCCTCAACTGAGTGTGTACCTAAGTCCCCAGTTCGGCATGCGGGAGTGGCAGCAAGACCGTGAATTTTTAAACTTTGTAAGATTGAGAGCACCCCAAGAGTGTTCATATTATACATGTTATTATATGATTACCTTACTATATAATTAGATATATAATATTTAGTTTTCCATATTAATCAAAAGTATAAGCTGGCACCGGTGGAGTGCTGTCTTGTGATGGGCTTGAAGTTGATTGCAGGTTCAACCCTTCTTATTTACAATTTTTTAATACACTTCAAGTTTCAAGCGTGTTCCATTGAATGTGCAGCGTTATAATTGCTAGAATCACGCCAAATCTGCCACTCAAAAGGGACTACGAGGGTTGGAATAATTTAATTCACGAATTATAACTGGGTTAGCGAAAAAATTTCCAATTCACAAATTTGGCAAGCAAGCAAGACCCTCTGCTAATGAATTAGGTGACTTAGGCGTGTACTGCACAACCAATATTTGGCCAATCAAACAGCACTTGCAACGATTCTTTCAGCGCTCTTTACCCCCTATGTTACTTCACACGTGGCATGGTGAATCTCATTATTTATTAATGTAATACGTACCACATATACAGTGTGGAAACTAGTATGAGCTGAAATAAAACAGTAATTAATGATTGGTTGGTTGTGTATATTGAGAATGACATTTAATAGCATTCCAAATGAAATTATCATGCATTATTTTCAAAATACAAAACATCGTAGAGGTTATTTGTAAATCAAATTCGAGTGTTATCAAAATGCTATACAAACTAATAAATCTTACCAATTTTTTATGAACGGGTGTTTTATGCAATAAATAAAACTCAAAATCTGAAATATCACCACTTTAATAACGTAATAAGGCGTTGTTTGTTTGATTAACAGGAATAATAATAAAATGATTAATAATCCCCATGAATTAGAGAAGGATTTGTTATCCAATCAAATTCGTGACATAGCCATTTATTGTGTATTCATTTTATTTATTTTTTTTCTTTTCTTTTCTTTTATACTTGAAATTATAATCCCAACCCCTCTCAATATTCGCTAATTTTGTTAAATTGAATGTCCGCTGTACATGTAATACGGTTAATAAAATTTGCAATCAAACATAGGATTGTGAGTCCATGAACTAACAATCTCAATCCTATGCTATAATACTACTAATCAAACATGTCCTAAGTGTCACATCAATAAGTAAAAAAAATTGTAAGAAAAATTGTAAGGTTGTTAGTTTGTATAACATTACTCTATCAGCCTACTAATTCAAGGAGAAAAGGGCAAAAAAAAAAAAAAAACAAAACAAAACAAAACAAAAGAGAGAGATCAATTTAACTCCTATCTATTTTGGTTAAATTTGTTTGCGAATAGAAAATTAGCTAAAAAGCCAAAAACTAACACAAAAAATCAACCCATTCTCTCTATTTATTTTATATAAGTCTTTTTGTAAATAATTAAAAAAAATAAATTTCTAAACAAACCCTTGGATGAGAGAAAAGAAACAATATCATCAAAATAAAATTTTATAAGAGTCAGTGTTTTTATTTTTTTCCTATATGTAAAGGAGCAGTTTTGGTATTATGTAAAATAATAATCTGTTGTTTTATTTTTTCTCCAAAATTCAAAATGAGGGTTTTAGAAGAAACCAATGTCTCCCATATTCAGTAATCCAAACAGATGATATGAACTAAGAGAAACACTTTTCTTTTGTTTCTGACTGTTCATTCTTCATTATCAATTAGGAAATAATTTCGTGTATGATTCTACGTAAGTTTTTTTGCCCCTAATTGAACAAAAACCATGGATCCATCCCTGTAATCCATAATCATATATATATACATATAATACACACAAATGCATATATATACATACATATTGGCTTGAGAGAGAGAGAGAGTAACCGTAGCCGGTGCAGTGGACGGTGACGCTCTGACCGGGGACAGGCTTGGGTCCGGTTCCGGCAGTGATGACTTCCTTTTCGACTCCCATCTCTGAATCTGTCTGATCTCTTTTGCTTTTGCTTGCTCAGCTTAGGGTTGAGTTCAATACCGATGAATTCGCCAATCACGGATATATATATATATATATGTATATATTACTATTCAAGTTAAAAGATAAATCCATTATCTAGATCTTTCGTTAACAATTAAATATTTTTTAACTATTAATTAATCATCTTTTTTATATATCGGAGTTTTTGACAAGAAGTTAAAAAAAATCAATTTTTTTATTTTTTTTATTTTTTTTTTTCAAAAAATTTATCAAAAAAGTTAAAAAGTCAAAAATTAATTTTTTATCAACTTCTCAAAACACCCCATTATTAGGTGAGTTTAAAAACTAGCATGTGTAGGGTAAGAATAAAAATAAATAATACTACATCTATCTCAAAATATTAGTCCATTATCTTATTTTTTATTATCTCAAAATATTAGTCTATTTTCAAAAATTAAGGACTAAAATAATATAAATTTCCTATTTTATCATTTTTTTAAAATTCATTAACAATATAAAAAATACAATTATGATAATTAATCTTCCAAAAAAAATTTTACTATCAAATGATAATTTTGAAAAATTATTATTTTTAAAGTGCAATAAGTGTATTACCAAAAACAAATTGAATTCTCCAACATGAACTATTATTTTGACACAGAAAGAGTAAATAAATTATTCTTTATTTTGTATTATAATATAATAATTTTGGATTAATTACATTTTATCTCGTTGTGATTTAATCGAAAAACATGTCACCTCATTATACTTCACAAATAGGAAGTGATTGAGAGCCCCACTCCCACCACCCCCACGCACACGTAAGGATTAGTGATTGGAGGAAAAAATAAAAAAATAAAAATAAAAATAAAAAAAACTGGCCAATCACAAGCCAGAGGGAGTCGTGGGGGTTCAGATCATTTTTCCTTTACAAATATACACATAATCATCCTACAATTTGGAGTGAATTATAAAGGGAAAATTCTATTTCCAGACACTACATTGTCTCTGTGCACATCCTTTCTCACTTCACTTACTTAGTAATTTGATTCTTAGGCATTTATCTCAATCCACACACCCCACATTCCAAATATACCCATTTAATAAAAAATGTGTGCACACCCTCATATTAGCCTACACAAATATTCGTTGTCGTCGTGCTACGCCGACAGGGCCTGCCATGATTGATTACCCTGTACCTAATTTGTTGTAAATTGACTAGTGTAGTCCAATACACAATCAGATTGAACCTCACTTGCTTGAGTGGATACTCTCTGCACACAAAACAAAAACAAAAAAAAAATCAAAGCCGAATATTTAACATATTTCGGAAGTTGAAATTCAAATTATTTAATATATTTCGAAAGTTAAGTTCCGAATAGTTTAATATATTTCGGGAGTTGAGTTTCGAACTATATTTTGAAAGTTGAGTTCTGAAAAAATTAATTTTGTTCGATTGTTGTTTTTTGTATACTATCTATGCATTCGGCACTAATTTGCTGAATGGCGATTGCAAACAAAAATTACGTAAAACAATTTCTTAGCAAAAAAAAGTTACATTTTCGTCGCTGCATTGGTTGTTTTGCATATCCTCCTGGTTTTCTGAATTGTTTGGCAAATCTTCCATCAAGTTTTGTTTGACAAACAATGGTAACCTAATGAGTGAACAATGGAAAAACATTAGCAATGGAGTCTAGTGTGTGAGAAATAATGGAGGAAGAAGGTAGGCAATGGAGTGTATGAGAAATAATGAAAGAAAAAGGTAGGCAATAAAATATGAGAAAGAATGGATGAAGAAGGTAGCAATGGAGAGTGTGAAAAAGAGTGAAGTGTATGAGAATGAGTGTCAATAACGTATGCAATGGATAGTGAATTTGCACAGAGAGCTTTTATAAGAAAAAGATGTGGTGGTAGTCTCTAGTTTGGATGTTTAAGTGTGTAGATGGATGTTTATTTTGGTCATTTTTATTTGAAGATAAATTTGTAATAAAAATAAAGTTCTTTAAGTGTGTGAACAGAGACAATGTGGTGTATGAAAATAGAATTTCCTATTATAAAGTCCAACTCCATTACTACTTTTGATAAAAAGTTAGTGTTACCTTTATTTTCTTCTCTAATTTTCTTTTCCATACCACCAACACTATAACTCTCTCTTTAAAAGTAAACCCAACAAGTCACTCCTTTGTTGCCCCAAACAAGCACTAACACTACAACTTTCTCTCTCTAAGAGTAAATAAACCCAACAAGCCACTCCATAATTGCCCCAAACAAACAAGCACTAACACTACAACTTTCTTTTTCTACAAGGAAACCCAACAAGCCACTTCATGGTTGTCCCAAACAATCACTACCTCTTTCCTATCACCGTATGCAACCCAAACAACCATGATACAGACCCCACTATCCCCCATCCCCACACGTGGGGGTTAATGATTGGAGAAAAAAAAAATTTGGCCAATGACAGCCCACTAAGGGTGCTGGGGGTCTCTCCCAGTAGGGGTCCCAAGCATTAGTGCAACCCAAAATGGATTTTATCTAAACGATGTTTACCATTTATGAAATTTGTGAAAATAAAATATTTTCCTAGTCTTCTTTTCCCCTTTTATTCTCTCTTATTTTTTCTCAACTATCCATGGTTATGTATACCTATATATACAAATGTGTGTGTATGTAATGATAAGTAGACGATGGAGAATGGTAGTAAAAGAAATAGATAGTGGAAAGGGATGGTGGTTTTGGTGGCCTAGTAGTTGTCGAACTACCATTGAAGGCCATAGTTTCAGTGGTGGTAGTCTTAGATGTTGTAGAAAGTGAGGGCGAAGGATATAGAGATGACATGGAGGAGATGGTAGGTTGATCTGTGCAGTGTAGCAGCAGTGAATGGAATAAAAAGAACGAGAAAAAAGAAAAAGAAAAAGAAATAAAAGGAGACAAGGGCATAATCGTCATTTGCTTAATTCATTCTTGTTCCACAAACTTAGTTCAGTAGGTTTTAGGCACGCGCTATTAGTTTTAACCGAGGCTGTTACTTTTACATTGCACTCCAAACTACAAGAGGGTTAAGTGTACATTTTTAAATTACAAGAAAATAATGTGTTATTGACCTGAGTCACAATGGGATAAAATGTAATTAACCCAATAATTTTTTTATAAAAATATACCAAAATTTGTCATGCGACATGAGAAGGTTTGAACACAAATCCAGTGTTAACATATATAATAATATAGATAAATAGATATAGAGTGCGCGTGATATCCATATTATAGGAAAAATTTGTTAGACAATCTTAGCTGTATTTAAATAAATAAATTATGTTTGTGTACTAAATAACAAACAGAATACAAAAGAAAAATAGGAAAGGAGAGAGAATGTTTAATTACAAAAATTAAACTAAAAAAAAATTAAATAAATAAAAACATATTTTATTTTGTTACAAAAACAAAATCAAAATCTGATATAAATAATAATAAAAAAACAGAAAATAAATAAACAACTTAATTGATTAAATTCTTGAACAATATTCTGATCAAATCCAGTGTTTGACACTGTGTCTTTAAGACAGATTCGTCCTCTCCACGGTGCTTTCAGAATATGGACGTCTATCTCCCAAGATAAAATGATCAATCAACGAATAAATGCAGCACTACAATTTATTCGCACAACGAACACACTAAGTGTTTACATTCTTTCTCACAAGAAAATAATGCAACAATATGAAGAGAATAGTTGCAAAATTATTTGGACGGAAAAATTGAATGAAAACATCAAATGAGGGCTAGTCTATTTATAGATGTAGTGGCATCCTCTTATTTTGAATTGAACAGGTAGCATACCTGTTTGAACAGGTACTGAACCTGTTGGGTTTGAATTGGTACTGTTGGGGTTCAAATTTGAATTTGAACAGAAAACAACCTGTACATAATTCCAATCGGGTTTTTTGAAATTTAAACAGATTCAATTCTGTTCGGGTGGAAAAAAATCGAACCCAATTTTGAATTTAATTTTCAAAATTCAAATTCAAAAAATTAGAATTTAATTTTAGAAAAAAAAAATTCAAATGTTTTTTGCCCAAAAAGATAGGTATTGGGCCGAACAAGCCCAACCCAATCTCACACCACGCACCCACGCCCAAGCCCAGGCCCAGCCCAGCCCGCCCGACCAGAAGGACAGACGGCACGCGTGTGGTAATTTTTGGATCCAATGGGTCTAGCCCATTTTGCCCATGACCTCTCTCTCTACAAAACTTGGGTGCCCCTCGTGGCCTACCCTAAGTTCCAACGCTAAGCCTTATAAAACCATTCAAAGTTTCCCACCAAATCAATGTGGGACAAGCCATTTATCAAACCTTAAGGAATTTTCACCAAAAACTCCATTTCCATAGAGCTTACTTTGGCTTCAATTTTCTATTCACCTGATAATGGTTTTGAGCAACCAAATATACCACGTGAATCACAACGAGGCATAGAACGCGTTACCACTTAGACCCGCCAACTTTAGCACATGGGTCCCACTTAAAAAGTAGACCAAAGTTGAGGAAAAAATCTATTTTTCCAGATTTTTCCAAAACCATATTTCTAACAATCCCCCACATGAATGGAATTTGATGACAACGTAAATGTAATAATATACAGAATTTGTCGAAAGAGTATAAATCGAAAATATCTTGCATCAGGATAGGTAGCTTTCGGCCTTAAACCTTCCCTAGTGATAACCTATTGGACTTACTAGCTAACCAATGGACGCGATACCTTGAATTGTTCAGCCATTTGTATAAGTCAAGACAACAGATTTCACACAAAATATCTTCTGACACATCGTGGTTCTCATAATTTGTGTTCATTTTTGTAACGCCCCAACCCTTCACATATCATCGATATTGTCTGCTTTGGGCCACGCCCGCACGGATTTGTTCTTTCCAGTGGGTCACCCATCCTAGAACTACTCCAGCCTAAGCACGCTTAACTGGAGAGTTCTAATAGGCATTTCACCACCTGCGAAAAAGCCTCGATGCTATATAAGGGTCTAAGTTTTTACTTTTATAGCCCAGGAACTCCCCCTCCATTCCTGATGTGGGACA